GACAAGTTAGCATACTACCTAAACTCCATCTCAATCGACACTACACAGAACACAATACTTGTCAATACAGGTCAATACATTCAGATACAATCAATACATACAGTCAATCAGAACAATAGTCAATACAATCAATACTGTCAATAGTCAATACAGGACACAATAGTCAATACAATCAATACAGTCATACAATCAATACTGTCAATACAGGACACAATAGTCAATACAGTCAATACAGTCAATACAGTCAATACAATACAGGTCAATACAGGACACAATAGTCAATACAATCAATACTGTCAATACAATCAATACAGTCATACTGGCAATGGACACAATACGTCCAATACCAAATCAATAACCAGTCAATTACAATCAATACTGTTCAATACAGTCAATAACAGGGACACCAAGTCACTACAATTCAATTACAGTCAATACAGGACAACTTCAATAACAGTCAATACAATTCAATACTGTCAAACAGGACACAGTCAATACAGTCAATACAGGACACAGTCAATACAATCAATACAGTCAATACAGGACACAATAGTCAATACAATCAATACAGTCAATAATCAATACGTACATAAGGTACAATTACGTTCAATACAGGATCAATTACAATCAGTACAATCATTCAGTCAATTACTGTCAATACAATCAATACTGTCAATACAGGACACAATAGTTAATACAATCAATACAGTCAATACAATCAATACTGTCAATACTGTCAATACAATCAAATACTGGAACAATAGTTTACATTGTCAGCAATACTTCCAATCATTTACTGTTCAGGGATGATAGTGACAAACAGAAGAAGAACGTAAGCATGCGCACACACACCACACACACATGTTCTGGAAAGTTAAACTAGTGTCTGAGAAGCAGTGGAGGGTTTGGAGAGAGAGGAGTGGAAACTCTGGATCGCTCACTGAGATGAACGAGAGAGTGGAGAGAGACGGAGGGAAGGAGGGAGTGAGAGAAAGGGAAGGAGGGAGGAATAGGTGGAGGGAAAATGATAGTGGAGAGAGAGAGAGAGAGGGAAGGAGGGAGAGAAACTGAGAATTCCTGTCAGCATTCTGCTCTAACCACAAGGCTGTAAATCAAAACCCTGTCCCACATAGAGAAGGCTTCCATTATCACACACAAAGACTGTATGTGTGGGTGTGTGTGTGTGTGTGTGTGTGTGAGTGTGCTCGCGTGCGTCATGCGCTTGTGTCAAAGAGAGAGAGAGACAGAGAGATGTGTGTGAGACAGTCAGTCTAAGCAGTAGCTTAGTTTTGTCTGTGTTTTATGATGTGTTGGTGTGCGTTGGTGTGTGATTATGGTGTGTTTGTGTGTGTTGGTGTACGTGCTTGCGTATGGCACGTGTGTGTGTGTGTGTGTGTGTCTCTGTGCATCTCTCACACACACTACAACCTACCGGAAGGTGGCGTCCACGGACATATCCACGACTACAGAGGTGGTCAGGAACTGGTCAGAGCCCTGCTTGACCACGCCAGGTACACCGGTGACCGTGAGGTTGGCCATGGGGTTCATACGGTCCACCGTCACGTTGAAGTGGTCCGTCAGGTTGCTCACATGGTTCATCGCCGTCACCTGTCGGACAGGAGGGGATTGATTGGTTGATTGATAGTTCCTTCAATATTTAGAGAGTTGGGCCATTGAGGTTTCTGCGTTGTGATGCATTTACATGACACTGCAACATTCTATGGCAGCCATGTTAGCTTCCCGTTAACATTACATGTGGAATATTTAAACAATACTATGTAACTGAATGTCTAGAATATTAGAAATTCTCAAAGTTGTCCCAACTCTCTAAATAAATGCCTCTGCTTCTACCTAATCCCAGCAGGTGTGTGTTCCCTATGGGTGGTGGACAGGGGGATGAGAGCTCCCCCTTATCTGTTGACTGATTGATTCATTGATTATGTTTATTGTCCTTCACGAGGGACATCTTTCACCAGCTCATATGCTACACACATCAAGATACTAACAGCACTACTGGGGGTTTCTAAAGGGGAAACAGGCATCAGTGTGCTGCTCACAGTATATCTTCCTCCACTGTCCCTGTCCCCATACCGAGTTCCAACCAGTGATCCTCTGCTTCAAAACACACGTGACCGCCCTCCTTGACAACGTACCAACCGGATAGCTCCATCGGTGACATTTCAAGCTAGCTGTGGACTGACCTTACAGCACGTTCTTAACTCCGTTATGAAGGCAAGGTTTCATATGCCATCACATTTCTGAGGTAGAGATTTCTCCCATAACTACAGGTCTAGGGTTTGAAATCTACTCCTTGTATTTGTCACGCTGGTGTTGCACAGAAGCGGTGGATGTGTTGGTGGGGAGTCTCCTTTGAGACCTGGTGAAAATCAATGCCAAAAGTAGTACATCGATTTCACAGATCAAAGTAGCTAGACATAAGCTTAGCTTTACCACCTAGCTTTAACCTACACCAAAACAGCATCAGCCAAGGCAGGGGCCCATATCAGTCATCAATGTTGTATTGTGTGTCTGTGCTAAGAACACACACAAACATACACACACACACACACACACCCTAGCTTTTACCAAGATCAATGCTAAATCAATCACACTCATCTTTAATATCACCTTTGTGTGTGTGTGTGTGTGTGTGTGTGAATGTGTGTGTATGTGGTGTGTGTGGTGTGTGTATTGGAGGGGGGGGGTGGGTGTGGGGGGTAGATAGGGGGGGGGGTGCAGGCGGGGTGGGGTGAGATAGTGTGGGGTGTGGGGGTGTGGAAGTGAGGGGGGTGGGGTGGTATAGGGGTGGGTGGGTGGGGGTGGGGTGTGGTGTGTATGGGTGGGGGGTGGGTGGGTGGTGGGTGATAGTGTGTGTGTGTGTGTGTGGGGGGTGTATGTGGTGTGTGGGGGGTTGTGGGGTGTGTGTGTGTGTGTGTGGGGTGGTGTAGGGGGGGTGTGTGTGGGTGATGGGTGGGGTGAGGGTGTGGTGTGTGGGTGAGTAGGGGTGGGTGGGTGTGTGTGGTGTGGGGTGGGTGATGGGGGGAAGGTGGTGGTGGGTGTGTATGGTGTGTGTGGTTGATGTGGTGTGGGGGTGTGTATATAGGGTGTGGGGTATAGGTGTGGGTGGTGTATGTGTGTGTGGTGTGTGGGTGTGTGGTGGGGATATGTGTGTGTGGGTGTGTGGTGTGGGTGTGTGTGTGTGTGTGTATGTGTGTGTGTGTGTATTGTGTGTGTGTGTGGTGTGTGTGTGTGTATATGTGTGTGGGTGTGTGTGTGTGTGTGTATAGTGTATGTGTGTGTGTGTGTGTGTGTTGTGTGTGTGTGTGTGTGTGTGTGTGTTGTGTGTGTGTATATGTGTATGTGTGTGTGTGTTGTGTGTTTGTGTTGTGTGTGTGTGTGTGTGTATATGTGTGTGTGTGTGTGTGTGTGTGTGTGTATTGTGTGGTGTGTGTGTGTTATGTGTGTGTGTGTGTGTGTGTATGTGTGTGGTATATGTGTATGTGTGTGTCTCACCGATAGTTTGTAGACGGCTGGGTTCTGGTATATGATGTTTAGCACTGTGTTGTAGTAGGTGAAGTAGGGCTTCTCATCCACCGTCCATTTAAAGGTTGGGTTGGACCCTCCCTCTACAGCAGCAGTATAGCTCTGGAACACACAGCAAGAGGAGAACCATCACCCCCTCCACCCCGTAGCCACCACCCACTCCATGAAGACTGGGTCTGGGATGAAGCAACATACACACCCCCTCCAGCCCGTAGCCACCACCCACTCCATGAAGACTGTGTCTGGGATGAAGCAACATACACACCCCCTCCACCCCGTAGCCACCACCCACTCCATGAAGACTGGGTCTGGGATGAAGCAACACACACACCCCCTCCACCCCGTAGCCACCACCCACTCCATGAAGACTGGGTCTGGGATGAAGCAACACACACACCCCCTCCACCCCGTAGCCACCACCCACTCCATGAAGACTGGGTCTGGGATAAAGCAACACACACACCCCCTCCACCCCGTAGCCACCACCCACTCCATGAAGACTGGGTCTGGGATGAAGCAACACACACACCCCCTCCACCCCGTAGCCACCACCCACTCCATGAAGACTGTGTCTGGGATGAAGCAACACACACACATATTGAACTCGAACTCACCACTACTGACTCCATGAGTACTCTGTGTCTGGGGTGAGGATGGACCACCAGACCTCTCAGAGGTTCCTCCACCTCGACCAACAGGCTGAGACTGGCCTCCGTCACCTCGCTGTGGACACACACAGACAGGTGTGATGAGCAACATTGAGACTTGAAGACTTGTGTTAGCTCCCCTAAGAGACTTGTTGCACCCAAATGACAGTCACATATACAGTCTATACAATCACACTAAATGTAGATATACCGTATGTGACATACTCTTAGAAAAAAGGGTTCCAAAAGGGTTCTTCGGCTGTCCCCATAGGAAAACCCTTTTTGGTTCCAGGTAGAACCATTTTGGGTTGCATGTAGAACCCTCTCTGGAAAGGGTTCTACATGGAACCCAAAATGGTTCTACTTGGAACCAAAACGGTTCTACCTTGAACCAACAAGGGTTCTTCAAAGGGTTTTCCTATGGGGAGAGTCAAAGAACCCTTTTAGGTTCTAGATAGCACTTTTTTTCTAACAGTGTAGGGATGTATAAAATCATAGAGATATCTCACCTGTGTGCTGACATATTCACCAGCACTGGCCCCCTCTCCTCCCCTAGCCCCAGATCTACCACCGCAAACAGGCTGTGGCTCTGGTTCTCCCCCCCTCTCCCTTGTTCTCCTGCCCTGCCTGCCCCTCTACACTCCCCCACGGTGGGCAGGAACTCAGGGGGGCAGTGGTCCTGGAAGAGCACACTCTGGATGCTGCCCTGCCAGTGGACTCTGGCTCCGTACTGGGAGTGGACCCGGAGCAGAACCACCGTCTGGTTGGGCCTGGATCACAATCACAATCATTTGTATTTGTATTTACATTCATTCACATGTACCAGGAATTTGACCTGGTGAAATGGTCTCGGCTTATGGACAATGTCTTACAATAAACCGAATATACAAGACAGAATATTAACAAAATAATAATCCATCCAATCCAACACAACACATTACCTGAAGTAGTAGGTTCCGTTCTGAGAAGTGGGGTGGAGGACGGTGAGGCCAAGGGGAGGGACCACAAGGACGGGACATGACGCCGTGACGGGGAAGGCAGGGTCGTCGGAGGTCACCTCCAGGCTGTAGAGCCCCGGCTGGGGGAGGCCGGAGGAGAGCTGGGACCCCTGGAGCTGGGTCTCACTATGCCCAACGTAGAGCACCCTGATCGGGCAGACCACGTCCGCCACCCAGCCTCCTCCTCCACCCTCTAGTTCTCTTCCTGCAAGACCTCCAACACCTCCATCCTCCAGGGTTAGTTCAACGCTCTGGTCCAGATCCACGGAACCTTCTGATTGGTTGGCGTTGGCCCACAGCCAGTCGGATTGGTTGTGGGCCAGGATTGACTGTCGCCACGGCGACTGGGGTGAAGGGTCGCAGCGGAGCAGGGAGGCGGGGCCGGCGTCGTGCTGCAGGGCGATGATGTCACCGGGGGAGACCAGCAGGTCCTCGACACGCTCCCTCACCTGAGGGGGGAGAGGAGGAGAGAGAAGGAGGAAGAGATAGGAGGTGAGTTTGTTTTAAAAGTAGTAGTTGTGTTTTGTTGTGTGTATCACTGTAGGTGTTGTGTTCACTTGGTGTGTGTGTGTGTGACTGTGTGTGTCTGTCCACTAAGTGTGTGTGTCTGTCCACCAAGTGTGTGTGTGTGTCCGTCCACTCACCAGTACGTGTGTAACAGGTCCAGCAGGCAGTGTAACCATCACCTCATTCACCAGGCTGTAACTAGGACGCTGCGCTCCGGGAGGCAGAGTGTCTGCCTGGGTACAGTTGGCACAGGATCCAGGGTGGCAGGGGCTGGCCAGGGGCAAGCAGCGGCCCAGGAAGGGGCACCACTGCTGGAGAGGAGGGCAGGAGGTGGAGGGTAAAGGGGTGGAGGTGCTGGGCTCCATGGAGACACACAGAGCCACAGGATGACATAGTGGACCACCGCATCCTGGAGGGAGGAGAGTCGGGGTTACAGAGGGGTGGTGGTGGTGGGGGGCTGAGTGTGTGTGTTTGTATATGTTTCTGTTTGTGAGTGTGTGTGTGTGTGTGTGTGTGTGTGTGGTGTGTGTGTGTGTGTGTGTGTGTGTGTGTGTGTGTGTGTGTGTGTGTGTGTGTGTGTGTGTGTGTGTGTGTGTGTGTATGCTTGAGTGTTAGGTGGTATACCGTAAATACCATATACTGGGGTATTAAGAAAAAGCCACGGGATGGTTTTTCAATACCTCCAATACTGTTGAAACTATTTCTTAGAAGTTTTTAATATATATTTGTAGCTACTTTTTAAGTAAATACCTGCAGTCAACTTGTGCAATACGTCAGGAGATAAAGAACATTGCGTTCTTCATTTCACCTGTCACATTGTCTCCTGAGTGGCGCAGTGGTCTAAGGCACTGCATTGCAGTGCTAACTGTGCCACTAGAGATCCTGGTTCGAATCCAGGCTCTGTCGCAGCCGGCCGCGACCGGGAGACTCATGGGCGGCGCACAATTGGTCCAGGGTAGGGGAGGGAATGGCCGGCAGGGATGTAGCTCAGTTGATAGAGCATAAACGCCAGGGTTGTGGGTTTGATTCCCACGGGGGCCAGTATAAAAAAAAAGATGTATTCACTAACTGTAAGTCGCTCTGGATAAGAGCGTCTGCTAAATGACTAAAATGTAAAAATGTAAATGTAAACATTATTATGAAGCTTACGGTAGTCCCCAGTCACGTGGTGTTTGTTTACAAGCATACAACGAGGAGAGAACGGAGCGTTGTGAGTCACTCACTGTTGTGCAGCAGGCGTCAGTTGATGTAGTTACAGTATGGAATTAACTGTCTAAAATGTGCTAAATGCTCTGCAGTTGTGTATTTGGTTTGCTAATTTAGTAGCTAGTTAGCTAAGTGGTTAGCTTCTTCCAAAATAAAGCAATCGCTTGGTAACAGCAGAGAATCCCCTCCTGGATCAAGAGCCTTGCTGGCTAATATAGATTTTTTTCGTGTAGAAAACTGAGTAGCATTTTACTTGTATAGTTTATGTCAGAAACTGTACAAAATGTTTGCAATGCGCAATGCGCATTTAGGTGGCGTTCTCTGTGGGGTTTTACATGTACTTGTTAGCATTGCTAACCTTCGGATTACAGAGTATGAGTGGGGTTTGAAAACAGCGGCCCTTGTGTGCAGTGCCGGTATTACCGAATATCCCGGGATGGCACAAGGTCGGTATGACAATCTTGATACTGCCCAAGCCTAGTGTGTGTGTGTGTTGGTCATAGAACTCAAAGAAACTAATCCTACAGCATTGATTATGTCATCATATTTCATGTTGAAGGTGGATGTTTGGCAAGAAACATCATCATGACAAGAAACATCATCATGACAGAAACATCCAGTGCTTAATTTGAGCCGGATCCTGCCAGAACAGGATCTGGCACCTTTTACATTTTGAATGTTTCATTCCGGAACGTATTTGGACGGATCAGGTACCTTTCGTGGCATGAAAAATATTTTTCACATTTTGCAAAGTAAAAATTACCATAAAAGCGATCAAAGTTAATTCGAGTTGCCTCTTCGTTAATTCTCCTGCCCCCCCAAAAAAACGTAATGTGAAAAAGTAGATTTTTTGCCGGGCCTGATATTCTAAGAGTTGATTCGGATTGGGCCTTATGGTTGGCGTAACATTGCAACCTATGTTTGAGACCAACGTGTGGCCGTAGCTGTGTGAGAAGCGCGCCTGTATCTCTCACAGAACTAGAATGAGATTCACTTTCTATGATCTCTCTCCCTCTCTCTGCTCTGATAGACATGAGCCTGCAACTCATCTCTCCAGCGTTGCACTTCATAACCGCGCAAAAGGGTTCTGAAGGAACTGCAGCCCTGATAAATTGAAATAAATTTGCCAAAATTATAGAATTACTGCTGTTTGTTCAGAAAGAAATGAAATAATTCAGAATAGCCTACTACACCATGATAAAGCCTATAATTTAGCCACAGAGGATAAAAAGCTTCTTTAAAAAATGGCCTAGCTGTGGCTTGTGTGTAGCCCAACAACGAGGCCTACAGTCGGGAACGCCCGGCAAATCTGTCGGTGAACAACAGCATGCAGACAAAACAGGCCTTTCACAATATTTCAAATTCAATCGCAGGAAAACACCGGTAGGAAAGCAAATGGCTCCTGCTGAAAACAGAAGACTCTAATATGTCTGCTCTAGGCTACCAAAATATTTGAGCAACTTCCACATATTGTTTTACTTACTTAAAAAAGAGAGAGGCTTTTGGCACGAACACGTCGGCCATCACTGGCCAGTGAGCTGCGCATCATTGGGTGAGTCAGTGAAACTGGAAAGCATTTTTAGAACTATAATTTCCTCCTCATATTGTAGCCTGCAATATGTGTGCCTTCACACACCTAGGCCTAGGCTATTGATGGATTGAAGACAAGGTCGATCTCAGATTCTCAGTGTCATGTAAAGAATTGCTTGAAATGCGTTTATAGAAGGCAAACATTTTCCCGGACCCTAGGCTACTAAAAAATCCCCCCATGTGAGCGTGAGAGGGGGGGGTTTTCTCATGCGTTCTGGTATCTCAGAACTCCACAGATCATCCCCTTCTCACGCTCACTTTTTGTTCCGGCACATGAAGCACTGGAAACATCATGACAAGAAACATCATAATCTGTCATTTCAGCTTTGGTTTCACGACTCAAGCAGTTTAGAGTATTGAGCTTTCTGTCTTGACAGATGAAAAACAGCTAAACAAAACAAAACCTTCCACTGACAGGAAGCCAAAAGGCAGAGAAAGAGATGGAGGAATGGAGAGAGGATGGGAGAGAGAGAGAGAGAGCTGGCCTGAGAAAGCAGAGGAAGAGATGGAGGAATGGAGAGGGAGAGAGAGAGAGAGCTGGCCTGAGAAAGCAGAGGGAGAGATGGAGGAATGGAGAGAGGATGGGAGAGAGAGAGAGAGAGAGCTGGCCTGAGAAAGCAGAGGAAGAGATGGAGGAATGGGCAGAGGCGGATGGGCGAGGAGAGTGAGGTCGGCGAGAGAGAGCTGGCCTGAGAAAGCAGAGGAAGAGATGGAGGAATGGAGAGAGGATGGGAGAGTGAGAGAGAGAGAGCTGGCCTGAGAAAGCAGAGGGAGAGATGGAGGAATGGAGAGAGGTTATGGGAGAAGAGATAGGAGAGAGCTGGCCTGAGACAAGCTAATGAGAAAGAGATGAGGAATGGAGAGAGATGAGAGGATGGGAGGAGAGAGAGAGAGAGAGGCTGGGCTTAGAAGCAGCATAGGAAGAGATGGAAGGAATGACGAGTAGGATTTGGGATGAGAGAGTAGAGAGAGCTGGCCTGAGAAAGCAGAGGAAGAGATGATGTTGTGGGATTTTGGAGACGAGCAGTGTTTGCAATCAGGGATTGTGCGTGTGTTAGCGGAGTGTGTGTGTTAGCGGAGTGTGTGTGTTAGCGGAGTGTGTGTGTTAGTGGAGTGTGTGTGTTAGTGGAGTGTATGTGTTAGCGGAGTGTGTGTGTTAGCGGAGTGTGTGTGTGTGTGCGCGTAGATGGTGTTCTTGGCAGAATATCAATCGCCCAATAAGCAGATTCACTATCTGTGTAATTAATAATATAGTATTTGCCATCTATCTCTCATCTCTATCTCTTCCTCGACTATATCTCTTCTCTCTCTCTCTTCTCTCTCTATCTCTCTCCTATCTCTCTCTCATCTCTGCATCTCTTCCTCTCTGCATCTCTATCTCTCTCCCTCTGCTATCTCTCTCTCTCTCCATCTCTCTCTCTCTTTGTCCTATTTTCTATTTCTGTCGTTTCTTCTTCCTCCTTTCTCTCCAAACTTTTCTCTTCTGCTTTGTTCTTTTGTATTCTCATCTGCTTCCTTGTGTGTGTGAGAGTGTGTATGCATCTGTCTGTGTGTGTGAGTGTGTGAGTGCATGCATCTGTCTGTATGTGTCTGTGTGTGTGTGAGTGCATGCGTCTGTATGTGTGTGTGTGTGTGTGTGTGTGTGTGTGGTGTGTGTGTGTGTGTGTGTGTGTGTGTGTGTGTGTGTGTGTGTGTGTGTGTGAGTGAGAGGGCATGCATCTGTCTGTACGTGTGTGTGTGTCTCCTCACCAGGCAGCAGCAGGGTTAGTCCAGGGCGCTGGCCACAGTGAGGTCTGTAGACCTGCAGGAGAAGCTGAGTGTGTGAGGAGAGCTCCTGAGAGATGAACTCTACAGACGACAGACGACCTGCCTGAACAAACCCCAACGCTGGGAACAACAGGAGCTGAAGAGGAGAGAGAGAGAGGGAGAGAAAGAGAGAGGGGGGAGGAGAGAGAGAGAGAAAGGGGGGAGGAGAGAGAGCGAGAGGGGGGAGGAGAGGAGAGAGGGGGGAGGGGGGGAGAGAGAGAGGAGGGGGGGGAGAGGGGGGGGGGAGAGAGGAGGGGGGGAGAGAGAGGGGGGGAGGAGAGAGAGAGAGGGGGAGGAGAGAGAGAGGGGGAGGAGAGAGGGGGGAGAGAGATACAAATATTTTAAGAGTGACTGTATGAGTGTGTACACAGAGTTTGAAAGTATGTGGTGAGTGACATTATGTGTGTCTCTCCTCACCTCTATGCTCCTGGCTGGTGGTTCAGGGGCGGAGAGCGGCGTGGGGGCGGGGCTAGAGAGAGGTCTGTGGGCGGGGAAAACAGGCAAGCCCACCAGGTATACCCCCGCATCAGGAACACGCACTGGAGAGCGAGAGAGAGAGAGAGAGAGGAGGGAGAGAGAGAAAAAGAGATAGAAGGAGAGAGGGAGAGAGATAGTGAGGGAGAAAGAGAGAATGTGAGAGAGAGAAAGAGGGGGGGATAGCGAGGGAGAAAGAGGGAGAGAGAATTAGACTTTTGATCCCAACATTAAAGAATGATTAATCATTAAAACATAAGTTATATTCCACTCACACATCTTCAGGAAGACAGGAGCAGGGGAGGGAACAGTAAGTATTGAAGATAAATATTCTTTGAACAAGGAATTCCCCTGCAGCATCAAACTTTGATTTGAAATGATTAAAATATGTACATATTCCCATCATAATGACCCCAACTTCAAGAAGCGAGGGGGAGAGAAGAGGAGAGGAGAGGGAGAGCCCTGAAGACAGAGAGGAGAAGATAGAGGAATAGATTTCTCTGTTGACAGAACTGAAACATACACAAGATCATGGCTGTGTGTATGTGTGTGTTTTGGGGAAAACACTATCCTAGTAGTACTACTGGGGAAAACACTATCCTAGTAGTACTATTGGGGAAAACACTATCATAGTAGTACTACTGGGGAAAACACTATCCTAGTAGTACTACTGGGGAAAACACTATCCTAGTAGTACTACTGGGGAAAACACTATCCTAGTAGTACTACTGGGGAAAACACTATCCTAGTAGTACTACTGGGGAAAACACTATCCTGGTAGTACTACTGAAGAAAACACCATCCTAGTAGTACTACTGGGGAAAACACTATCCTAGTAGTACTACTGGGGAAAACACTATCCTAGTAGTACTACTGGAGAAAACACTATCCTGGTAGTACTACTGAAGAAAACACCATCCTGGTAGTACTACTGGGGAAAACACTATCCTAGTAGTACTACTGGGGAAAACACTATCCTAGTAGTACTACTGGAGAAAACAGTATCTTAGTAGTACTACTGGAGAAAACACTATCCTGGTAGTACTACTGGAGAAAACACTATCCTAGTAGTTCTACTGAAGAAAACACTATCCTAGTAGTACTGCTGAAGAAAACAGTATTTTAGTAGTACTACTGGGGAAAACACTATCCTAGTAGAACTACTGGGGAAAACACTATCCTAGTAGTACTACTGGAGAAAACAGTATATTAGTAGTACTACTGGGGAAAACACTATCCTAGTAGTACTACTGGGGAAAACACTATCCTTGTAGTACTACTGGGGAAAACACTATCCTAGTAGTACTACTGGGGAAGTAGACTGTATAATGACTTCAAGTGAATCAACTGCAGATTAATTACATTAAACCACTAGAGGCCCCAGACCAGGAAGTCCCTGTTCAATTAATGGCAGGCAAAGTAAAACCACACGGCAGGTTTAGTGATGAGGTGTAAACTGTGTTGGAAAGAACAATGATTTGAAGGGTTTTTGGAAACGTTTGGAGGACGGTAACCAATGCCCCAGGGAAGCACAAGCAGGTGGTTTCCACCATCAATGCAAGTGGTAGGCCCTTTGTTACCCTTTTACATCCGTAGGAATAAACACTATCCTAGTTATACTGGGTGAAATAACCTATCCTAGTTAACGCTGAATAAAAACAATTCCCAGATACTGCTGAATAAACACTATCCTAGTTATACTGCTGAATAATACACTTTCCTAGTTATACTGCTGAATAAAACACTATCCTAGTTATACTGCTGAATAATACACTATCCTAGTTATACTGCTGAATAATACACTATCCTAGTTATACTGCTGAATAAAACACTATCCTAGTTATACTGCTGAATAAAACCTCCTAGTTATACTGCTGAATAAACACTATCCCAGTTACAGCTGATAAAACACTTCCCAGTTATACTGCTGAATAAACACATCCTAGTTATACGCTGAATAAAACAACTTCCTAGTATATGCTGAATAAAAACCCATCCAGTGTATGCTGAAAAAAACACTATCCAGTTATACTGCTGAATAAAAACACTTCCTAGTTATACTGTGAATAAACACTATCCAGTTATACTGTGAATAAACACTATCCTAGTTATACTGCGTAATAATACATATCCTAGTTATACTCGAAAAACACTTCCCAGTATACTGCTGAATAAAACACTATCCTAGTTATATTGCTGAATAAAACACTATCCTAGTTATAGTGCTGAATAAAACACTATCCTAGTTATACTGCTGAATAAAACACTATCCTAGTTATACTGCTGAATAATACACTCTCCTAGTTGTCTTGTCTGCCACCCAGACAGCTGGCGTCGGGTAAGTTTGGCTTTATGCATTGCTTGGGCTTTGTCGAGTAAGGCTTAAACTATGTATTTAGATTGTATTGGGTATTGTAGCTAGGCACGTGGGTTGTTTGTGGGTAGTTGTTGTATGTAGTTATTGTAGGTTTACTTTGTATTCGGCGGTGCCGGGTGTAGCACGAAGCTAGCTAGCTAACTCACCTCCTGGACTAGCTGGCGAGTAGCTATTAGCAACGGTAGCAACTAAATACAATATCCTTTTAGCCAGCTACATTCGTTCGCAGCGACGCCGTTTTTCAAACAAAGTCAACACAGCAGCCATTGCTAGCTAGCCAACACTACCAGCTAGCTGTACTGTAGTAGCTAAATACAATATCTTTGTGCTAGCTAGCCAACGTTTAATTATTGCTGCGTTATGAAAGAACTAGACACGGACACAAATTATCTGTTTAGTGTGTTAACACACTATTGGTAGTTTGTTGTAACCAAGTACTGGTGCTAAACTGTGTGTTACTGGATGCTAGCATGCTAGTTAGCTATGGCGTCATAGTTAGCTAGCTGAATAAAGTAAGTTGAATCTATTCCTTGAAACATTGAACCGCTGTAGTTTACAACAATTCTAATTTCTAAAGTGGAAGTTGGGAGAGTTTTATTCGGGTGGTTCAGTGAAACAATTATAGTTTCTGAGGTGGAAGTTGGGAGAGTTATATTTGGGAGTTTTTGGTGAGGGAGGCCCTGCTCTCTCCTTTCCCAGATGTTTAGTTCATTTCATTCCGATCTCCTCTGCATTATTGTAGCCATCTGCTACAGCCTGTCAACTATGCCTCTGCCTATCCCTGTTCTCTCCTCTCCGCACAGGCTACACAAACGCCTCACACCGCGTGGGTTTGGGCACCCCTGACAATTTCCATGATTTCCATTTATAAATAATTGGGTGTTTGGATCAGCAATTTAATTTTGATCTATCAAATAACTGATGGACACAGTAATATTTCAGTAGTGAAATTAGGTTTATTGGATTAACAGAAAATGTGCAATATGCATCAAAACAAAATTAGACAGGTGCATAAATTTGGGCAACCCAACAGAAAAATCACATCAATATTTAGTAGAGCCTCCTTTTGCTAAAATAACAGCCTCTAGACGCTTCCTATAGCCTCTAATGAGTGAATGGATTCTGGATGAAGATATTTTGGACAATTCCTCCTTACAAAACATCTCCACTTCAGTTAGGTTTGATGGTTGCCGAGCATGGACAGCCCGCTTCAAATCATCCCACAGATCTCAATGATATTCAGGTCTGGGGACTGGGATGGCCATTCCAGAACATTGTACTTGTTCCTCTGCATAAATACCCGGTAGATTTTGAGCAGTGTTTTGGGTCGTTGTCTTGTTGAAATATCCAGCCCCGGCGTAACTTCAACTTTGTGACTGATTCTTCAACATTATTCCCAAGAATCTGCTGATATTGAGTGGAATCCATGCGACCCTCAACTTTAACAAGATTCCCAGTACCGGCACTGGCCACACAACCCCACCGCATGATGGAACCCCCACCACATTTTACTGTGGGTAGCAAGTGTTTTTCTTGGAACGCTGTGTTCTTTTGCCGCCATGCATAACGCCCCTTGTTATGACCAAATAACTAAATCTTTGTTTCATCAGTCCACAGCACCTTATTCCAAAATGAAGCTGGCTTGTCCAAATGTGCGTTTGCATACCTCAAGCGACTCTGTTTGTGGCGTGTGTGCAGAAAAGGCTTCTTCCGCATCACTCTCCCGTACAGCTTCTCCTTGTGCAAAGTGCGCTGAATTGTTGAACGATGCACAGTTACACCATCTGGAGCAAGATGATGTTGTAGGTCTTTGGAGGTGTTCTGTGGGCTGTTTTTGACCGTTCTCACCATCCTTTGCCTTTCCGATAGTTTACTTGGCCTGCCACTTCTGACCTTAACAAGAACTGTGCCTGTGGTCTTCCATTTCCTCACTATGTTCCTCACAGTGGACACTGATAGCTGACATCTCTGCGATAGCTTTTTGTAGCCTTCCCCTAAACCATAATGTTGAACAATCTTTGTTTTCAGGTCATTTGAGAGTTGTTTTGAGGCCCCCATGTTGCCACTCATCAGAGGAGGGTGCCCAAACTTTTTCATACGGGGGGGGGGGGGGGGGGGGGGTCTGCAGCTGCTGTAAAGGAAGAGTAAATAACAAAAGATCCACATCTGGTAGAGTGGCCCCGCTAAGTAAGCCCCTCCCTCTCTCTGTGTGTGTACAGTCTCCTACCTTGGGGGCGGTACTGGCAGGCGTAGGCCCGTTTTGTGCTGCAGGGGTGTGAGCTGGGCAGAGCTGTATGGTCTAGTGACACACACACTTTCCCCCGAACCAGCGTAGCCCGGTCTCTCCCTCCGCCCTCGCCATCCCGCGCCTCCGAGCCGTCCACCCAGCGCAGCGAGCCTGGAGAGTCGACGTCACTGAGACCCAGCCATACACCACGCTCCCTGTAGGTTGTAGGGACCACACACACACACACGTTACAGACACACACATTATAGAGACCACACACACACATGTTTAGAGAACACACACACATACAGTGGGGGAAAAAAGTATTTAGTCAGCCACCAGTTGTGCAAGTTCTCCCACTTAAAAAGATGAGAGAGGCCTGTAATTTTCATCATAAGTACACGTCAACTATGACAGACAAATTGAGAGAAAAAAAATCCAGAAAATCACATTGTAGGATTTTTAATGAATTTATTTGCAAATTATGGTGGAAAATAAGTATTTGGTCACCTACAAACAAGCAAGATTTCTGGCTCTCACAGACCTGTAACTTATTCTTTAAGAGGCTCCTCTGTCCTCCACTCGTTACCTGTATTAATGGCACCTTTTTGAACTTGTTATCAGTATAAAAGACACCTGTCCACAACCTCAAACAGTCACACTCAAAACTCCACTATGGCCAAGACCAAAGAGCTGTCAAAGGACACCAGAAACAAAATTGTAGACCTGCACCAGGCTGGGAAGACTGAATCTGCAATAAGTAAGCAGCTTGGTTTGAAGAAATCAACTGTGGGAGCAATTATTAGGAAATGGAAGACATACAAGACCACTGATAATCTCCCTCGATCTGGGGCTCCACGCAAGATCTCACCCCGTGGGGTCAAAATGATCACAAGAACGGTGAGCAAAAATCCCAGAACCACACGGGGGGACCTAGTGAATGACCTGCAGAGAGCTGGGACCAAAGTAACAAAGCCTACCATCAGTAACACACAACGCCGCCAGGGACTCAAATCCTGCAGTGCCAGACTTGTCCCCCTGCTTAAGCCAGTACATGTCCAGGCCCGTCTGAAGTTTGCTAGAGTGCATTTGGATGATCAAGAAGAGGATTGGGAGAATGTCATATGGTCAGATGAAACCAAAATAGAACTTGTTGGTAAAAACTCAACTCGTCGTGTTTGGAGGACAAAGAATGCTGAGTTGCATCCAAAGAACACCATACCTACTGTGAAGCATGGGGGTGGAAACATCATGTTTTGGGGCTGTTTTTCTGCAAAGGGACCAGGACGACTGATCCGTGTAAAGGAAAGAATGAATGGGGCCATGTATCGTGAGATTTTGAGTGAAAACCTCCTTCCATCAGCAAGGGCATTGAAGATGAAACGTGGCTGGGTCTTTCAGCATGACAATGATCCCAAACACACCGCCCGGGCAACGAAGGAGTGGCTTCGTAAGAAGCATTTCAAGGTCCTGGAGTGGCCTAGCCAGTCTCCAGATCTCAACCCCATAGAAAATCTTTGGAGGGAGTTGAAAGTCCGTGTTGCCCAGTGACAGCCCCAAAACATCACTGCTCTAGAGGAGATCTGCATGGAGGAATGGGCCAAAATACCAGCAACAGTGTGTGAAAACCTTGTGAAGACTTACAGAAAACGTTTGACCTGTGTCATTGCCAACAAAGGGTATATAACAAAGTATTGAGAAACTTTTGTTATTGACCAAATACTTATTTTCCACCATAATTTGCTAATAAATTCATTAAAATTCCTACAATGTGATTTTCTTGAAAAATAATTCTCATTTTGTCTGTCATAGTTGACGTGTACCTATGATGAAAATTACAGGCCTCTCTCATCTTTTTAAGTGGGAGAACTTGCACAATTGGTGGCTGACTAAATACTTTTTTTCCCCACTGTACATGTTAGCGATGGAGACCATATAGACACACTTTTCCACACATAGGTTAGAGAACCGTGAGTAGGTGATGTAAAACGTTAACTAAGAAAACAGACTGGAAGGTCAAACCTCTGACATGCCTATTAAAAAACCTTTCACAATGTATGGACCTCTATGTCCTCTCCCCATAGGATTTTACACACACACACACGTGTCAGTTAAGTGTGGTAGCAGAACACTAGGGTCACAGTCAGGTCTACAGTGTGTGTGTGTGTGTGTGTGTGTGTGTGTGTGTGTGTGTGTGTGTACACGTGTACCTCACAACATGCTATATGTGAGCGCTGACGCTGCTATAATGAGTTGAATGGAAAACAACTGTGTTACAATATGAACAGCAGTGACAGGATTTATTTCCAAACTGTGTTCCAAAAGCATTTTGGTTTCAAAACCTATTTTTCCCGCTGTCGAAGAAAACTCAAGCAAAGTAGTTCCAAATTCACTCTAAATCATGTGCTGTGCAGTGTTCCTAACGTAATGGTTGTTTTTGGTCTATGAAAGTTTGATGTTCACAACAGCCATTTATTACATAGCATTGTTAATTCTCTCTCTCTCTCTCTCTATCTCTCTCTCTCTCTCTCTCTCTCTCCTTCTCTCTCCCTCTCTCTCTCCCTCTCTCTCTCTCTCTCTCTCTCCCCCCCCCCCACCACACACACACACACACACCCCGTCGCTCTTGTTATTTTTTCAAATGTCTCTCTGTAGGGCTCCAGCAGCCAAATACCCACATCTGGAGAAAACTAGAACTGGGACAAAATAGAGGGGATGAACGATGGGGAATGAGAGAGGAGGGAGAAAAATAGATCTTTGTGCCAAAAAACAAAACAATAAAGAAGTGGGTTCTTACATAAGATGGAGGAGAGGAGAGGAGAGGAGAGGAGAGGAGAGGAGAGGAGAGGAGAGGAGAGGAGAGGAGAGGAACATACAGTGGGGAGAACAAGTATTTGATACACTGCCGATTTTGAAGGTTTTCCTACTTACAAAGCATGTAGAGGTCTGTAATTTTTATCATAGGTACACTTCAACTGTGAGAGACGGAATCTAAAACAAACAAAAAAAAATCCAGAAAATCACATTGTATGATTTTTAAGTAATTCATTTGCATTTTATTGCATGACATAAGTATTTGATACATCAGAAAATCAGTACTTAATATTTGGTACAGAAACCTTTGTTTGCAATTACAGAGATCATAAGTTTCCTGTAGGTCTTGACCAGGTTTGCACACACTGCAGCAGGGATTTTGGCCCACTCCTCCATACAGACCTTCTCCAGATCTTTCAGGTTTCGGGGCTGTCGCTGGGCAATACGGACTTTCAGCTCCCTCCAAAGATTTTCTATTGGGTTCAGGTCTGGAGACTGGCTAGGCCACTCCAGGTCCTTGAGATGCTTCTTACGGAGCCACTCCTTAGTTGCCCTGGCTGTGTGTTTCGGGTCGTTGTCATGCTGGAAGACCCAGCCACGACCCATCTTCAATGCTCTTACTGAGGGAAGGAGGTTGTTGGCCAAGATCTCGCGATACATGGCCCCATCCATCCTCAATACGGTGCAGTCGTACTGTCCCCTTTGCAGAAAAGCATCCCCAAAGAATGATGTTTCCACCTCCATGCTTCCACGGTTGGGATGGTGTTCTTGGGGTTGTACTCATCCTTCTTCTTCCTCCAAACACGGCGAGTGGAGTTTAGACCAAAAAGCTCTATTTTTGTCTCATCAGACCACATGACCTTCTCCCATTCCTCCTCTGGATCATCCAGATGGTCATTGGCAAACTTCAGACGGGCCTGGACATGCGCTGGCTTGAGCAGGGGGACCTTGCATGCGCTGCAGGATTTTAATCCATGACAGCGTAGTGTGTTACTAATGGTTTTCTTTGAGACTGTGGTCCCAGCTCTCTTCAGGTCATTGACCAGGTCCTGCCGTGTAGTTCTGGGCTGATCCCTCACCTTCCTCATGATCATTGATGCCCCACGAGGTGAGATCTTGCATGGTGCCCCAGACAGAGGGTGATTGACCGTCATCTTGAACTTCCATTTTCTAATAATTGCGCCAACAGTTGTTGCCTTCTCACCAAGCTGCTTGCCTATTGTCCTGTAGCCCATCCCAGCCTTGTGCAGGTCTACAATTTTATCCCTGATGTCCTTACACAGCTCTCTGGTCTTGGCCATTGTGGAGAGGTTGGAGTCTGTTTGATTGAGTGTGTGGACAGGTGTCTTTTATACAGGTAACGAGTTCAAACAAGTGCAGTTAATACAGGTAATAAGTGGAGAACAGGAGGGCTTCTTAAAGAAAAACTAACAGGTCTGTGAGAGCCGGAATTCTTACTGGTTGGTAGGTGATCAAATACTTATGTCATGCAATAAAATGCAAATGAATTACTTAAAAATCATACAATGTGATTTTCTGGATTTTTGTTTTAGATTCCGTCTCTCACAGTTGAAGTGTACCTATGATAAAAAATTACAGACCTCTACATGCTTTGTAAGTAGGAAAACCTGCAAAATCGGCAGTGTATCAAATACTTGTTCTCCCCACTGTATCAGTAAGTCTGTTGACTTTCAACAAGAAAGTGTCTGTAGTCCATCTCAGCAGCATTTCAACAGCATGTCTTTAGCCTTTCAGTAGCATCTCAACTGTATATCTCATCATTTTCAACAAGGTAGACTGTAGTCAACAATCTGTAGACTATCAGCAGCATTTCAACAGCATATCCGTCTCTCCCTCCCCCTCCTAAGAGCAGGGCCTCAGCCCTCAGATTAATGATGGGTGTGGAGCAGTGAGACAGGAAACACACACACACACACAGTGAACTGCGGAGGACTCCTCCTATGGTTGTGGTGCAGCTGTGTTTATATGACTGGTAGAGACCAGTACAGAGAACACTATGTGTGTGTGTCCTACAGAGAACACACAACCAGTCTGCACCTGGACCAGATAGACCAACACTTACTCTACACATTTATAGAACATATTAGATTTCCTCTGAATGCATTTCATCATTTCTCTAATGGTGTAACCTTGTAGCTGTACAGCCAGGACCACCCACTGATGTCAAATACAATTTCGTGCGGCGGGTCCAAGGCGCGAGGGCGCGGCGGGCCCGGCAGCGCTAGAGGCGCGCGCGCTCGCGGCGGCGCGCGCGCGCGCGCGCGGCGCCCGCGGCCGAGCTTGCGCGTGGCGCAGCGTCCACGCGGCCATGCGCGAGTCGCGCGGAAACTTCTGCGAGAGAGAGCGCGGCTTAAATTCTCTCTCGTCTATGGGTACGATTTTCTATAATTTCTGTAGTCCTTATTACCGCTTTCTCTCCAAACTTTTCTCTTCTTGCTTTGTTCTTTTGTATTATCATCTGCTTCCTTGTGGTGGTGAGAGTTGTGTATGCATCTGTAGGTGGTGTGAGTGTTGTGAGTGCATGGCATCTGTCTGTATGTGTATGTGTGTGTGTGAGTGCATGCGTGTATGTGTGTGTGTGTGTGTGTGTTTGTGGTGTTGTGTGTGTGTGTGTGTGTGTGTGCGGTGTGGGTTTGTGTGAGGAGAGGGCATGCATCTGTCTGTACGTGTGTGTGTGTGTGTCTCTCACCAGGCACGCAGAACAGGGTTAGTACAGGGCGGCTTGGCCACAGGAGGTCTGTAGACTGCAGGAGAGATGAGTGTGTGCGGAGAGCTCCTGAGAGTGAAAAACTCATACAGACGACAGACGACATGCTGAACAAACCCCAACCAGCTGGCGAACAAAGGAGCTGAAGAGGAGAGAGAGAGAGGGAGCGACACGCGAGAGGGGCGAGGAGAGCGAGAGAGAAGAGGGGGAGGAGAGCTATTCTGAGAGAGAGAGGTGGTGGAGGAGAGAGCCAGTCAGAGGCTCCTCGCTATAGTTTTTCTCTTCCTACAACGCTACTCACTCTCCTACGCCTTTCCTTTCGCCCGAGAGGAAGAGAAGAGATTAGATTGTAAGTAGAAACGAGAGATGAGGGGGGGAGGTCGCAGGAGGAACTAGCCGGAGGACGAGACGAGAGGATGGTGGGGGAGGGGTAGATACTGGGGAGAGGTTTAAGAGCACGGGACGGGGGGCGATTCTGGACGCGAGAGGGAGACTGGGTGGGACGGAGGGACGGTAACCCGCACTTCTTATGAGAGTGAGGGAGGGCTGGTCGGGGAGGAGAGAGAGATTACGACGAACGGCTGAGAGGAATGATGGAGCAGGGCCGGAGAAGGCGACGGATGGAGAAGAAGAGAATGAGGGGGGAGGAGATACGAGAGGGGGGGGAGAGAGAGGAGGTAGACGGAGGCGACAGAGAGGATGGAGGGGGGGGAGAGAGATGAAGGGGGGGGTAGGAGAGAGACTGAGGGAGAGGGGTGAGGAGGAGAGAGCGGGAGGAGGAGAGAGAGAGAGGGAGAGAGCGAGAGGGAGGGGGAGGAGAAGGAGAGGGGGTGAGAGAGATACAAATATTTTAAGAGTGGACTGTATGCGCGTGTACACAGAGTTTGAACGTATGGGGTGTGAGTGACATTAGTGTTATGCTCTCATCACCTCTATGTCTCGGCTGGGTGTTCAGGGGACGCTCCGAGGACGAAGAGGCCGGGGGGGGGGGCTGGGAAGGGGCGGAGGCTTTTTGCTTAGAGAGATGGTCTGTGGGCGGGGGAAAAACAGAAGCCAACCAGGTATAACCCCCCGCATCAGAAGGAACACGCACGGGCGGGATGAGAGAGAGAGCGAGGCGAGAGAGGACGGTTTGGTTTTTTTTTTTTTGGGAGCAGATGAGAGAGGGAGAGGAGGGAGAGAGGAGAGCGAGAGGGGAGAGAGAGCTTGCTCGCTTCGTTTCCTCGAGAGCAGAGGAGAGAAAATAGAGAGAGAAGGAGAGATGGGACGGAGACGATACGTCTTGAGGGGGAGGAAGGCGAGAAGACGAAGAGAAGCGTTACGAGGAAGCCCGAGTATGAGATGTGGAGAGAAGAGGGGGGTGCCTTTGTCTTGTGGTTAGGGGGGGGGGGAGATAAGAGTCTGGATGTGTAGGGGTCTGGGAGAGAAAGGAGAAGAGCGGGGCGAGGAGAAATTTGGAGGAGAATTAGACTTTTGATCCCAACATTAAGACATGATTAATCATATTTAAAACTAAGTTATATTCACTCACACATCTTCGAGGAAGGACAGGCGTCAGGGGATTCTGGACGGGAAAAAAGTTAAGTATTGAGAAAATACTTCTTTGCAAGGAATTCCCCTTGCAGCCATCAAAACTTTGATTTTTTGAAATGATATAAATATGTACGATTACCAGTCATTAATGACCCCCAACTTCACGAAGCGAGGGGGGAGGAGAAGGAGGAGAGAAGAGCGAGGAGGAAGAGGAGAGGAGAGGGAGAGGAGAGGGAGAGCCCTGGAAGACAAGGAGGAGAAGATAGAGGAATATAGGATTGCTCTGTTGACAGACTGAAACATACACAAGATCATCATGGCTTGGTGAGGTCGGGTATGTTGTGTTGTGGTTTGGGGGGAGGGGGAAAACACGTATAATAGTGTACTACGGGGGGGAAAACACTATCCTAGTTAGTTACATTGGGGGAAAACCACTTATCATAAGTTAAAGTACTAATGGGGGGGAAAACACTATCCTAGTTAGTACTACTGGGGAAAACACTATTCTAGTAGTACTACTGGGGAAGAAAAAAGGAGGAAAAACACTATCCCTCAGTAGTACTATGGGGAAACAATTTATCCTCGTAGTACTACCTGGGGAAAACACTATCCTGGTAGTACTACTAAGAAAACACCCTCATAGTAGTACTAATGGGGGAAAACACTATCCTAGTATTACTAACGGGGACAAACAAGGAGGGAAAAAACACTATCATTAGTCAGACTACTGCGAGAAAACACTATCCTGGTTAGTGGTACGTACCTAATGAAGAAAAACACACTCCTGGGTTCAGTACTTATGGGGAAAAAACACTATCCTCAGTGTACTACTGGGGAAACCCACTATCCTAGGAGTACACTGGAGAAAAAAGATGTTTGGGAAAACGAGGAAAACAGTATCTTAGTCAGAGTTTACGAATGAGAGGAAACAGAAAGAAAAAACAGAAAGAAGGAAAACAGGAAAAACACTTAGTCCGGTAGAAGTAGTAGTACTACGGAGGAAAACACTATTCTTAGTAGTTCTACTGAAGAAAAAACACTTATACCTAGTAGTTAATGACGGAGAAAACATATTCTTAGTAGTACTACTGGGGAAAACACTATCCTAGTAGAACATACGGGAAGAAAAACACTTATTAGTAGTCATACTAGTACTACGGAGGAAGACACACAGTAGTATATTTAGTAGTACTACTCGGGAAAAAAACAATATCCAGTATACTAATGGGGCGAAAACACTACCGTAGTACTACTGGGGGGGAAAAACACATAGAAAACAACGATCAGTAGTAGTATCTGGGGAAAGGAGACATCGTAGTTAGAATCTGTGATAATGATTCATGTGAAATCAAAATGCAGATTAATACATTAAACACTAGACGGCCCCAGACCAGGAAGTCCTGTTCAATTAATGGCAGGAAAGTAAGGAGTTAAAGTAAAATACCCACACGGGCCAAGGTTTAGTGATGGAGGTGTAGGTGTAACCTGTGTTGGAAACTGACACAGATGAGGTTTGATGAACACTGTCTTTGGAGGTTGAGGTGAAACCCAAGACAGCGCGACAGTTACTATAATGCACAATGCAGGTGTGGATGACGCACAACGCAGTGTATGTGTTTCTTCCTTACCTTATTCATGGTGCATCACGTAGGAATAAAACACTATCCTAGTTATACTGCTGAATTAAAAACACTAATCCTAGTTAGTTGTTATTTTACTGCGAATTTTACACATCCTGATACTGCTGAAAATAACCACTATCCTTAGTATAAATGCCTGAAATAATTATCACTCTCCTAGTTAGACTGCTGAAATAAAACACTATTCCTAGTTATACTGCGAATTAAAACACTTTATTCCTAGTATTTTATTACTGCCTGAAAATACACTATCCTAGTTAACTGTGAATAATTACACTAATCTGTTATACTGCCCTGTCTGAATATTTATACACTCTCCTAGTATACTGCTGATCCCCACCCAACCTATCCTAGTTACACTGCTGAATAATAATTAAAATAATACATAAAAAACACTATCCTAGTTATACTGCTGAATAATACACTATCCTAGTTATACTGCTGAATAATACACTCTCCTAGTTATACTGCTGAATAAAACACTATCCTAGTTATACTGCTGAATAAACCAACTTCATAGTATTATACTGTCTGAATTTAAAACACTATCCTTAGTTAGACTGTGATAATACCATATCTAGGTATACTGCTTCTGGAATATACAAGATCCTAGTTATATGATGCTATAAGCCATATCCTAGTTATACTGCCTGATAATACACTCTCCCTAGTGATACTGCTGAATTAAAACACTATCCTAGTTAATAACTGCTGAATAGAAAACAGATCCTAGGGTGAGACTGCCTCTGAATTAAGTTACACTTCTCCTAGTTATACTGGCTGAATAAAAACACTGTTACCTTAGTTATATCTGCTGACGTGTGTTTACGGAATTTTAAAAACCACCGATCATAGTTATACTGCTGAACTTTAAAAAACCGATCCTAGTGAATCCTAGTCTATGTGCTGATAATAACCACTATCCTGTTCTATACTGCTGAATGATAAAACCGCTTTCGTCCTAGTGGTATGAATCTAGGTATAAAGTAGTAGGAAAAGAGTTGGGGAATCCCCTGACAATTTCCCTCAACTGATTTTCCATTTATAAAGAATTGGGTTGTTTTGGATAGTCAATTTTAGATTTTGATCTATCAAATAACTGATGGACACAGTAAATCATTCAGTATAGTGACTTAGGGGGAGGGTGAGGCACGGTACTGAGGATGATAGGGTTCACAGGAAGGAAACGGGAATAAGAAAGGGGCAAGAGCAGCAAAAAACAACAAAACGGGACAGGGGCAGAAAGGGGGCGAACCACTTGACCCAACAGAAAAAAAAAAAGCACAGCAATAGGGGGAGTAGAGCAGCAGACGTTGCTAAAATAACAGCCTCTAGATGGTTTTTTCAGATAGCCTATCTTTATAATGAGGTGTCTGGATTCTGGATGAAGATATCTTTGGGACCCTTCCTCCTAACAAAACATTCTAACAGTTATAGGTGATGGGAGCGGTGGTGAGGGAACCCTGAGTTGCAGGCAGCATAATGGTACAGCCCGCTTCAAAATATCCCACAGATATCAATTGTGAGACCGGAAGGGGAGGTTTGGGAAAGGGGAGGGGTCAAGGCAAAGAACAATCGGGGTCAAGGTGTCTAAGCTGAGAATACTAAAATGTACACCCGGCGTACGGGTAATTTGAGCAGTTATTGTGTGGGGTCGTTTGTCTTGATTGAAATAATCCAGCCCCGGCGGTACTTCAACTTTGTGACTTGATTCTTCAACATAGTCCCATGATATCTGCTGCTATTGAGTGAATCAATGCGGAACTCTCAACTTTAAACAGATTCCCAGGACCGGCAATGGCCACACAGCCCACCGCTATGATGGAACCCCCACCACATTTTACTGGGGGTAGCACGTAGCAAGTGTTTTTCTTGGAAGCTGTGTTCTTTTGCAGCAATGCATAACGCCACCTTCTTGTTATGACCAAAATTAACTAAATCTTTGTTTAATCAGTCCACAGCACATTGTATTCCAAATGAAAAGCGGGCTGGGCAAAAAGGGGACTGGGGAAAGCAACACGGAAGCCGGACGCGAGGGGGGGGGGGTTGAGGAGGGGGTTGGGCAGGGTAAAAGCAGAAAAGGGGCCTTCGTCAGCATTGTAACATCACGGTACACGGGAGCAGTCGGGAAAAAAGGGGGCCATGAAGGTGGGAAGAGGATGAAACTAGTGGCAGAAAAGGGGAGAAAGATCGACTGGGGGCGTTGGTAGGAGAGTGTGGGAGGTACCGGCGGTGGGTGAGGGGGACGGTTTTTTGAAGCCGGGAGAAAAAATAATTGACAGGGCACGCATAGCTGATTGGACCCCTCTTGCCACCTTCGAAAATTCTACACCGAACTGTGCCTTTGTGCCCATTCCTCACTAGTTCCCTCACCGTGGACACTGACCGCTAACTATCTCTATGAGATTTTAGCTTGGGTAGCTTCCCTAAACCATAATGTTGAACAATCTTGGTTTTCAAGGTGTAATGTGAGAGTTGGGTTTAGACAAATGGGGCCGTCCCACATCAGTTTGCCACTCATCAGAGAGGAGGGTGCCACAAACTTTTTCACACTTCCGGGCGGGGTCTCGGGGGGCTTGGGAAGCTCGCGCATTCCCTGCCGCCTGTTGTCGGGGAGTCTTTCGTGGGTTTCAGCGGTGTTTGCCTTTGCTTGGATGGCTCGCCTTTTTTATGGTCTGGGGCAGCGGGCGCCCATTGTGGGTGCGCGGGGGTTGACCCTAGCGGCCTTTGCCTTTTAGTCGCCCTACCCCCACTGGCGTGGTGCCCCCTTCGCCCGAGGTCCGCCGGAGGGCCGGGAATGGACGATTGAGAGGAGTATTGCTTCGTGTCTTTTCAGGTGCCCCCGTTGAGGCGACTTTGTACTGTGGTAAGCGATACGTCGGCTGCGAAAGGAGGGACGGGAGGTAAATTGCGGGATACAGAAGAAGTGACAGCACATTCCCTCTGGTCACACTCTCCGCCCGCGTCGCATAACCGCTCCAATTAACAACTCCTCCAGATACGAAAAAAGCTTCTGGCTGTGCTTGCCGCAGTTAGAGGGGAACTCTAAATCAAATCGCTTAACAGTCCCCGACAGACTTAGCGAAGGTAAGTGTATATCTCAAATAATAACACTCAATGGTCGACCAAGATGACGAGGGCGGGGAGGAATAGGAGATATGTATAATGGCGGTGCGTCGACTTTTCCAGGGAGGCGTGGTGTTCCCTCCGCTCCTGTGCCGATACCGTTGGAAAGGGGCAGGCGAAAGGGTTACAAGTGGGTTCGGTTTTTTCCTCGCGGTGGCGGGGTGGTATAGGGGCCTTCGATCCCGCTCAGTTCTCCGTGGATGCAGAGGGCGAAGAGCGAGTTAGCCGGCGAGGGGATGTAGGGAAAACAAAAAAATATTAGGGGAAAAGATACCTCTACTCACGCTCTGGTAGAGTCGTAAGAGCCCAGCGCAAGCAACGACGAAAGCGATATAACGAACAGACGAAGAAGAAGGTAAACGCCAGCAGTAAAGCGGGACTGGAGAGTTCGACGTCACTGCAGAACCAGCCATACCCACCGGGCTCCCTGTAGGTGTGTAGGGCCCACACACACACACAACACGTTACAGACACACACATTTTATAGAGACCCACACCACACACATGTTTAGAGAACACACACACATACAGTGGGGGGAAAAAAAGTATTTAGTCCACCAAAGTTGTGCAAGTTCTCCCAATTAAAAAGATGTGAGAGAGGCCTGTAATTTTGCGATCATAAGTTACACGTCAACTATGGACCAGGACCAAATTGAGAGAAAAAATCCAGGAAACATAAACCATTGTTAGGCATTTTGTATGAAGTTTATTTGAACATTATGGTGGATAAATAAGTATTTGGTCACCTACAAACAAGCAAGATTTCTGGCGCTCTCACAGACCTGTAACTTATTCTTTACGAGGCTCCTCGTCCTACATCGTTATGTATTAATGGCACCTTTTTGAAATTGTTATCAGGATAAAAAGACACTGTCCACAACCTCAAACAGTCACTCAAAATCCACTATGGCCAAGACCCAAGAGCGTAAAAAGGACACCAGAAACAAAAATTGTAGGGGACCTGCACCAGGATGGGACGAAGACCCCCTGAATCTGCAATAAGAAGCAGCTTGGTTGAAGTGAATCAACTTGTTGTGGGAGCAATATAGGAAAGGAAAAAAGAATACAAGGACCAATGATCATCTCCCCGAATCTGGGGCTCCACGCAAGATCTAACCCCGTGGGGTTCACAAATGATCACAAGAAACGGTGAGCAAAAATCCCGAACCACACGGGGGGACCTAGTGAATGACCTGCAGAGAGCTGGGACCAACAGGTAACAAAGCCTACCATCAGTAACACACAACGCCGCCAGGGACTCCAAATCCTGCAGTGCCAGGACTTGTCCCCCTGCTTAAGCCAGTACATGTCCAGGCCCGTCTGAAGTTTGCTAGAGTGCATTTGGATGATCAAGAAGAGGATTGGGAGAATGTCATATGGTCAGATGGAACCAAAATAGAACTTGTTGGTTTAAAAAACTCAACTCGTCGTGTTTGGAGGACAAAGAATGCTGAGTTGCATCCAAAAGAACAACCATACCTACTGTGAAGCATGGGGGTGGAAACATCATGTTTGGGGCTGTTTTTCTGCAAAGGGACCAGGACGGACTGATCCGTTTTGTGTGTAAAGACGATAAGAATGAAGTGGGCACATTTAGAGTGGAGGGAGTTTTTGGGATAGTGGAAAACACGCCACTCAACAGCTAAAAGGGCATTGAAGATGAAACCGTTCGGCTGGGTTCTTTGCAGCCAGACAATGATCAATAAAATAAAAACTAAGATTTTATAAGGGACTCAACGATTAGGAACAGAAGAAAAGGAGTAGGATGCGTACAGAAGAATTAAAGGTCATGGAGTGGACTAGTCGGTCTCCAGATGTCTCACCCATAGAAAATCTTTGGAGAGGAGAGTGAAAGTCCGGGTGCCCAGTTG